AGGCACATGTGAGATGCATTAGGGATACGATATTTATCTAACAGTTTATGGTCTCAAACACTTTTTCTTTACCTCTTTTTGAAAGCTCACTATAGAAATATCTGGTGTTAAATAGGACGGTGCGGTTTGTATAGAGCCTAGGCTCTAAACAATCAAATTAGAGCCTACCTTCAAATAGTGTCGAGATATGTAGTTTCAATATTGGAAATCTTTGTGATAGCCTTAAAATATATTTTCATCTTTATTTATAAAATTTAAAGCTTAAAAATAAGTGTAGATCAACAGATCTATGAAAACTTGAATATCCTGAAAATTGACGGTCAAAAAATGCATCACAAAATACACTATTTCCAAAACTTGAAATCCATGTTTTTTCACACGTCCATACATCTTGATGTCGAGATGATCAATTTGAGGATATTTGGGCTTCAAAACAACCTATTCTAAAGAAATTTTTGATGTAGGCTCTAATTTAATTATTTAGAGCATCGGCCTTATATAAATGTTTCCCTAAATAGAATCCTACGGCACTTTGTTTTTAACATAAAAGGGGCACGCCATACAATTACATTCCCAGGAGGTCATCCATCTCAGAACTACTTTTGCCCAAGCAAGTTTAACGACATAAATTTGGTGGGTTTCAGTGCATTAGTATTGGTATGCTATATTTAGGAATGAGTTCAGAGGTAAGTGATCAGGATGGTCGTCACATTATGAAGTATTGACTTCCATTCCTATAACAGGTAGATGATCCATCCCCATTGAATTACCCTAAGAGAAAAAAACAAAAACCAGTTTGGTCGTACCCACGTCACTTGTCATCATAATGATGCATCGTTTCTCATCATCTACTTAATATACAAACATATGTTGTGTCTTAAAGGCTAATAACATTTTCGACACTCGTATCAGTACCCAAAACTAGCAACTTATACCTATCCTTATATCATAGCGATGCAATTTTATGAATATGTTGGGTTGGCTCCCCAAAAAGATGAGAAGCAAACCCCAATTTAGTCTCAATTCATGGGAAAGAGGGAACTGCTAACATGGAAAGAGCAGCATTGCTTTTAAGAAACTTTTGACTATAGCCAACCTCTTTTATGCTACTTATTTGAAATAGTAAGCCATCAAAGCTTCATATTCGAGGTCAGGAAGGGCTGCTGGAGAGAGAGAAGGAAGGGTTGCTAGAGAGAGAAGAATAAGATAGAGACTTTAGGAAAATGATGCAAATTTAGAAAACCAAAGGAAAAGAAGAAAGAAAAAGAAAAGTATGCGGGGCAGGGGCTTGAATGACTTTTAACACATTCTATTCTCAAAAGCCCAAACATATGGTCTACTCCTTTCCGTTTACGGGGCCCACATGTTTCTTAGTGGTCCCGTCCGAGCCCGGCGTCGCCATCAAGCCCGATCTATGTCGCAACTGGCAACGGCCTGGGATCTAACGTTGTGACAGCGCTCATACCTTCGATCTGTTTTTAAAATAATCTTAATTACCCAAACCCTACCCTCAGCCCTTGCAAAATACCAAAAAGCACCACTCCAGCCCGGGCGTTGCTCAAAAAACCCCCCCTCTAACCGTGGTTTTAGACGGTTTTCGTGATCGGTTGGATATTTTTTAAAAAAAATTATAAATATTTTTTTTTAAATAAAAGATTTTATTTTTAATGTAATTTTTATTGTTTGTCATAATTATGGTAAATTTTGAAAAATTAATATTTTTGAAAGTTTTCAAAAAAAGAGGGAAAATTTGTAAAAATAAATAGAATTTTTTTCATTTCAAAATTTTTTAAAAATACCCTTTGGTACAGAGCAATTTTTTAAAATTTATTTTTCATTAATTTTCAACTTCATTTGGATGTGTTTTGTTTAATCATTCTTTAAGCATATTTTTTATATTTTATTTTATTTTTTTTGACACTTTTGTGGCCACTCGGGATTTGTCCGGATAGAATGGTTGAACCATCAGGTTTACCGATTAGGCCGTTTGAATCGTTTCTAGGCCCAAATCCAATTAACTGTCCTGGTTTGATTTTTCCTATAGTTGTTGCAACATATTGAGTTCCATTCCTATTACAGGTAAGTGACTTATTTCCCATTGAACTGCTTAAAGAAAAAAAAAATAAAAATACAATAAGACCACTTGTACAAGCTGATCAAATTTAATCTTCACCATTAGATGTAAAATTAGGTAGATGTATTTATTTTATTGATTAAACTTAAATTTTAAAATAAATTTTTTCGAACGCTATGATACACCCAAACTAATTTCAAATGGTCGTAAATAATTGGGACCTGCATCCCCAAAAAAAAAATTCATCAAATGTTCATCATTAGGGAGTCGGCAGGGCTGAATGTTTGATTTACTGAACTCTGACTTGCAGTGAGGAGTATCACGTGCTTATTTTGTTTTAATGCTCCCCTCCATCCCTTCACACCAGGTGCTGGGCACGTGCGCACTGGCTTCTGGCCAAAGGAACCATCCAAAATGGCCATCAAATTTACAAGTATACCCTTCTCTTTCTCGGACTTCGATATTCAGGAAAAGTTGTTCCGGCATCAAGAAACTCTCAAATTGAAAATCTAAATAATTATTTCTAAGCATTCACAAATGTATCCGGTCTTACACCGTTTTGGAGTTTCAAATTTTATAACTAGGGACAAAAATAGATTTGCATGTCATCGAAGGAGTTTCTACTGTGCCGTTAACATATCAAAAAAAAAGAAAAAGAAAAAGAAAAGATGAGTAAAGAATTTGAGCGCCATAGATTCATTTTCTTGTAACTCCCAAAAAGGTGTACATCCGAACGACGTTTGAAGAAGTAAAATGAATAGTGCAATTTTTTAAATAAAAAATCTATTTATTATTCTAGATTTGTGATAGCTATGACAAAATTATCAATCTTTAAAATTTTAGATCCAAAATCCATCTCTCAAATATATCTTAAAAAAAAGACATGTATTACATCAGCTAATGCACCAAATCCTCACCCCCGTTGCATTTCCCTTAATAGTAATAAAAATGATAATTGCATTTCCTTTGAGTGGACCATAGCATCCACTATCTGTGCTCAAGGCATTGAAGATGATCCCTGGTTCATCGCCATCATTAGCTTAAATCGTACGGTAGATGGATCCTTTGTGCATAGTTTCCCATGCTCAAAATGTGCAGGGGTTAATTCATCTTCGCATACCATTTTTTGGAAGGGACGTTTCAGATATTTGGGAGAGTAGGGGGAGTGTTTATAACTCAAGAAACTTCCTTTGATCTCTCAAAAATTGTTTGATAGGGCTGCAGCCCTATCAAAATAAGTAAAGCCCCACCTTATGATCCATCGAAAATTGCAATTCAGAAAGCGTTTGCATAAATCATTTTATCTTGAACATTATAGTTGTGAAATAAAAAAGGATTTCAAAGCTTTAAAAATAGTATATATTGTAAAAACTTATTTAGATCATCTATTTCGATTTAAAAATAAATATTCATAGGTCCGGAAGATCTGAATTATTATTTGAGTTTTGAATCTCATAATCAGTACTGAAAATTGATTTTAGAGCTATCATCAAGATTTTTTGTTATCAAAAGTAATTTTTTTACTAAGATTTGAGATGAAGCTTTATTATATTCTAAAAAAGCAGGGGCATTATAGACACCCCATCCTTTATTTATGAGTGCATGTACTATGCTGCTAGTAAATTGTATACCGACTCCCTTGGATTATATGATTTACCGAGGAATATTTTTTTTCCAAAATTTTGAAAACCTCCCAAAAATCATTACATGATTAGTTGAAAAAAAAAAAAAATTTATTTTAAGCTTTCGAATACTTAGATCTCACGCTTCAAAAGATTAGACAGTTTCTATTGGATATTGAGGTCTTATGATTTGAAATCTTGTCATTGAGTTTTAATAATGGAACCAGTTTCTATGTGTAGAAATGTGGGGTTCTTAATAAATTTATTTTTGAGATAGATCTTATGATTTTAATTTTTAAAGACATGTAATATCTATCATGAAGGTCATGAATATGAAAAAATAAATAAATTTAAAATTAGAAATAATATTCCTAGCAAGAAAACGTTTTGGGGCATTGGTTTCTATTATTTTTAGATATAAAACATCTACTTCCATCCATCTTTAAGGTGCATGCTTTACATTTTTTGGACCGCATATATAGAAATGCGGTCCAGTCCGCATGAATCAATTTTCTTTTAAAAATTTATATCCCTAAAATTTGTGGTCCTAAGGTTTTAACCGAGGGAGTAGATGGAGTGTGTGCACCCTCGGGAACATAATTTCTTCTAACATTTTTTACTAGAAGCGGAGGATATGTTTGCAAATTAAATAAAAGTTAGTGTCCGTTTGATATCCTAAAGGAATAATGAGGGTTATTTTGGTCTTTTTTTCTCACTTTCAGAAAGAGTGCCACCTGGTTTATGGTGACGGAACCACCCAAAAATAGAATAAAAGGACAAAGAGAGAGAAAGTTGGCTCCGCGTGTAGAGAGAGAGAGAGAGAGAGAGGAGGGAGGGAGAGAGAGAGAGAGAGAGAAGAT